TGTTAGGAAACAAAACTTCCAGGATATGGCCACACAGCCCGGAAGACCCACACCAGCCATCGTATGCTGGCCGTGAAAGCCTTCGACAACACAAAAAAATCAGGACTTCCAGAGTAATATCAAACGTATTATGATGCTTGCTCATAGCTCTGTGAATATCATTTTCTTTCTTTAATTCATAAATACAATTTCCATATCTATATGGGATTATCAAATACACAAAGAAGTACATTTTTTTTCATAAGATGGATATATAGTCTTCAAAATAAACAGGACCTCTGCAGTTCCAACACTGCTGAATAGCACCAGTTTGTAGAATTTTCTTGAAAGCTACTGCATTTTAATGGTAACAAAAATTATTCAGGTATATGCTCATAAGCATAGCGTAGAGTACACAGTTTTAAGCTTGTAAAATGCATAAGCAAATACACATGAGCTAAAATATTATCTAAATAAAATGGTTAAGATATTTGTTCAATAGAAGAAAACACATTCTTCTTGGCACATACAGTACATTGTATAAATTAAGCCAAATTGCTGTAAGTGATGAACTCAGTGAATCATTCTAGAGTAGAAGAATGATTCTGTACATGGAATGAGAGACAAATTTTCAAGATATTTGCAATGTTTTCTTTTTGGCCTCTGCAACTTCAAAAATGACCCATATCCTTGTTGTGATATACTGTATACTTGTGTTTCTCCAGGGCAGGCTGATGGCCTTGTCCAGCAAAGCAGTGCTGTATAGGTCTGCTTACTAAACAATGTCAACAGGTTGTAGCCCTAAGTCAGAGACTCAAACTGTTCCTGCTCCTAAGCTTATAATATCTAAGCCGTTGCCATCCTTGACAGTATCCATCAAAACTGTGAAATAAAAGTCTGCACACAAGTTACCATAGTAAGTACAGCTAAGTTTTGTAAGCAAATGAGGATAATATTAGTTTCATCTACATAGGATGCCAACCAGGATTTCATGCTACCAGTGAATGAATAGCATGCTGGCACATATTACTGTTATCCTACAGGCAAGCAGGGCTAACAAATCTGGATGATTCTATCCATGGTTATTTTATTAGTCCTTGGCCAAGTATCTGAATCATATGACACAATCAAGAAACACACCTAGACTTTTTAAAGCTTTATACACTGTCTCTACATTCACCTATTTACTCTGTTATGCAAATACAGATTACATTTTAGCAACTTTATCCTTACCGGTGTAACAAATGGTCTAGTGTTCCCGCAGCAGCATCAGTATAATTAGTTAACCCAATAAAATGAAAATCACTAAGACCACAGCTCATATACATATACTCACTTTGAAATTATATTCAAGGGGCCTTCATAGAAGCATCCTACAAAAATAAAAAATGACCAAAAAAATCCCCTTTCCTACAAAAATACATCAGTAAACAAGCAAATTCTTGCTCAGAGAGACTACATTCAAACCACAATTTATTATATTTCAATCATCCAACATGTCTAATAAAACAATAGCTTATTGAGCTTGGAACTATAGTAAGATATACAGAGACAGTTCCTTACCCATATCTCCCTCTGAGATAATGTCTCAGACAGTAATTCATAAAAAGGGTTCAAATCACTTCTGGTATCCACAGTGAAAGACTTAGTACTGTCAACAAGGCAATCAGCTGAGCTCTCCAAGATTATTGATACTTTTTTTTTCTGAAGGTTTCTTCACAAATTTCCTTTGAAAAATACCTATTCAGCTCTGTTCATCTGGCATGCGAACACCTGATCAACATAGCCTTTCTATATCAACCCACTACAAACAACCTACCAAATTTTTCTTCACACATTTAACAAACTGCAATATTTCTTGCCAACCATTGCTTACATGCTGAAATTGCTCCCAAAAAATAAAGCAAAAGAAGACACAAACATGGAAAGGCTTCAATCTATGAACCCCATGTTAGATTCAAGCATACAAAAGCATGCAAGAACAAAATAAAATTATCTATTAACCATAACTCTACAATGATGTCATGCAAACTGTTTGATGGTTTCAAGAAATTAAGTTTATTTTTGTTTGGGAATTATAAATGGGATGGGAGCAATTTACACATTGGGAAGATATTTTGAGAATTGTAATTTGTTCACAATGAACAGTAAGCTTCTGGGTCCTGCTTGCTTAATTTTACCTGGTTCCTTCTTTCAGCTATAGTAGCTGAAGTTTAGATCCAAGGGCAAAACTCAGGCAGCTTCTGTTGAAATCACTAAGTAGACCACTGAATATCAAAATAATAATGTAACTGTAAACTGAGTTCACTTGAGTGTAATGCTAAAAATAAAAAAAAGTTTGAGTAACATATTTTTACACCAGCCTTTTAATATGGCTACCAAAACCAGGGTACAGATGTCCAGACCACCACTGGATAGCAACAAACATTTCTAGTTTCCAGTTTCCCTGTGGCCATCCAGTGGTTATCTGGATTTATGTAGTCCAAATCTCACAGCCCTAATAGTAAGGTTCTTAAAACTGTCAGAATATTCTTCTTTCCTTTAAAGCTGTTAGTGAAACTGAGATAACCACAAATGGATCTTAAAATGAACTTCACAAAGATGTCATGTCTCATTTGGATTTGGAATGCAAGATTAAAAGGGTCATTACATACTTATGCAGTTGAATCCATCACCTCTGTACCCTTCTTTGCATTTACATTTGTAAGACCCTTGTGTATTGTAACATTGTGAGAAACCTCCACACTGATATTGGCCAAGAGAGCATTCATCTATGTCTGTAACAGGAAAAAAAAAAAAAAAGATAAATACCATTTTAATGATAACAATCCTACATTTGCATTTTCAAATTAACATTCTTTCTTGTAAAATAATTGAAATAAATCCCATTGCTATATTAAAATGCTGAAATGCTAGTGCTGAAAATTAAGATGGGAAGCAAATTATTTGAAGAGTCTTGAATGAGTCTGATTTTTAAGGGAGGTCTCAGTGGTCTTGTACACATATACAGGCTACAAAATAATAAAAGGTCAGAAGTTTTAGATAGTTGAATTTTGACTTATAAGCTATTTTGTGATAATATGAAAAATGTAAGGGATGATTAGACTCCGTTACCATCATAATCTAATGTGAGGAAAATTTACTGCAGGCTACAGGAAAGAACTACACATTACAGGCTGGATTCACATTGCTTTAACTAATATCCATGGTGGCTGGAGATCATTAGAGTTGAGTCCTATATGTCTAGAGGACTGGGAAAAATTCTATGAACTATGGTTTACTAAGCACAGTGACTGGGTTTCCAGTTTATACTATGCCAAAATCGAACATAAACACATTTTACCTTTTTGGGATATTTAAATCCAGCCAGAAAATTGCCTCCCCTCCCCCCCCCCCCAAACAGGACTTTTTTCAAGTTCCCCTTCACTTCCTCCATAATTTAGATCCATCAGATCTGGGCAGCAAAAGTCCAGATGGTCACTAAATGGTGGTAATGGGTTTAGGTTTTCTATAACCCAAACAGCCATCATGAATTTTACAGAAGAGGAAGAGGAAGTCATAATTTAGTTCTAGAGTAGATAAGTGTGAGTCCACTTCCAGAATTCAGAAGAGCTGACCATAGTGGAGAGGCAGAGAACATGAACACAGCACTCTACAGTTCCTGAGATCTGAAGTGAAATTGCAAATGCATTTGGCTAAACATGGTTACTGAGTTTTGCAGAATACAGGACAATGGTTATACAACATATGATGACAATATTCAGGCAAATACAGGTGTCATGTCACTTCAGAGCTTCCCTGTCATCACATGGCAATTGAAGGTAGTGAGAGCAGGGCTGGAGCACACATTCCCACTTCCCTTTCACACTTCTATTTTTCAAAGGCCTGAAGGAGACTTTGGTGCAACAAATCTGTATATGTGGTTTTCTTCTAAAATGATTTTCATTACCATGGCACTGATATCTGCCTCCAATGTACATCAAATCAAAGCCTTTATGACACTTGCAAATATAACTTCCAAAAGTGTTGACGCATTTCCTGAATCGGGGACAGGTAACGCTCCCAGCAACGCATTCATCCACATCTACAAATAGAAGTCCATTAATAATCTGTAGCAATGAGTTTCATGTATTCAAATTCAAAAACACATTTATCTTGGATAACCTGAAAGGTCAATAGTCTTCTGGAACATTATTTTTTATGCATTAGCGCTATGCAGAAATTACAGTTTAATTTTAAGATGAATGTGCAGATGACTTTTCTCTCCCTCCATAAAACCCACTTTTTCAAATGGCATCTTTCACCCCCAACATGGCATAAGTTTATAATAAGCAGGTTTAAACCCTGTGAAAAAACATCGTGTCCAAAGCCAACTGCCACTCTGAATGTTAGGAAAGGACTGATGGACGGAGAATTAGAGGCCCATACTGAAATGTTTAATTTAGAAAGAGGTAACTGGAATCTAGTATTCTCAAAAGCAACAATTTATTTGTTTACTTGTAATAAACAAATTTACTACAATTTGTTCTGTTGTGCAAGTGAACTTTATTGAGAGAAAGGGTTTCCATGCTGAAAATAAAGGTTCAGCTAAGGACACTAAGTGGCTCTTGAAATACTTGGTTCAGTCCAATTGGTCACAGGAAATCATTGAAAGGTTTTAGGGGTCATCTCCAAACCACAATGCTTGTCAGAAGTCTTTATTAGCTGTTTCTGTTTCTGGAATCTGTTACAAAATGAAACTATTTGTTCACACAGTGATTTATAGAGAACACTTCCAAGACTACTGGCATACCAGATTCTAGGGATCAACGCCACTGCATGAATAAGGTACATTCATAATACACCCTTTTGCAACACTGAAGGGGGGTATTTTGACTACTGAGTTCAACTCCCTGCTCAGTTAGGAATCTAGCTGAAAATATCCATGATAGGTTATTATCCAGTTTCTGTATGAACACAACAACAACAACAACATCAAACATCAAAAACATCTGCCAGGCAATCCCACCTCCTTTATATGGACAATCTGAAGCTGTATAGAAACACACCATCTGAAATAGAATCACTGCTCAACACTGTCCAAATATACAGCCAAGATATTGCAATGGAGTTTAGACTGGACAAATGTGCCACCCTTACCATTAATAGGGGGAAAACAGTAAAAATTGAAGGAATCAAGATGTCCTATGGAAATAACATCAACAGTCTGGATGAAGATCACTACAAATACCTGGGCATCCTAAAAAACAGACAAAGTAATAGAAAATGAAGAAGCTAAAATGCTCTGGGACTTTAGAATTCAAA